TTGAGGACCCCACAAGAAAGTCTGGACAGGTCACTTGGACTGTCCTCCCCCCAGGGATTCAGAGACAGCCCCCACCTCTTTGGGTTAGCTCTAACCCAAGACTTGGCAAAGTGGCAATATCCACAAGCTACTCTGCTACAATATGTGGACCAAATGAGCCTGTCATTTCATGAGCCACTAAGTCCTTACTAAACTTCTTAGCAGACAGAGGTTATAAAATCTCTAAAGAAAAAGCCCAATTGTGTTGGTCTAGGGTTACATATTTAGGTCTTGTCCTGGAGAAAGAAATGAGGTCTCTAAGAGAAGACAGGATCCATCCAATCCTGATGTTTCCTCTACCTAAAACTCTAAAGCAATTGAAGGCCTTTCTGGGGGTCACAGGATACTGTAGAATTTGGATCCTGGGATATGCAGACCTAGCCAGGCCCTTATATCAAATCCTTAAGGAAGCACAGAAGGATACCCAGCCCTTTATTGAATGGGATGACAAGTCAGAAAATGCATTCCACAGGTTAAAGAAGGCTCTTATGACAGCCCCCACCCTGGGTCTCCCAGTACAAGACAAGTTTCAATTTTATGTCTATGAAAAAGGAGGAATGGCCTTAGGAGTAGAGGCTCAACTCTGGAGCACCACTCCCCAGCCAGTAGGTTACTTAAGCAAAGAGTTAGATCAGGCAGCCAAGGGATGGCCAGGATGCCTCAGAGCAATGGCTGCAGTAAGCCTTCTAGTGCCTGAAGCTCAGAAACGTATCCTAAACCGCCCCCTAACGGTTTATACCCCACATGACCTAGGGGGAATTTTAAACTCAAAAGGAGAACTTTGGCTGTCTGACAGCCGTCTACTTAAATACCAGGCCCAGCTTCTGGGAGGGACAGAAATAATTTTAAGGACCTGTCAGAGCCTAAATCCTGCATCCCTTCTACCAGAGGCAGAGGGAAATCCTGAGCAGTCGTGTGAGGAGGTACTTATGGAAAATTATGCTGCCCGACCTGACTTAACTGATCGGCCCTTAAAAAACTCTGATCTAGAATTATACACTGATGGCAGTTCCTTTGTTAAAAATGGTGTCAGACATGCAGGGTTTGCAGTTGTGACAGAATTTGGCATCCTCAAATCAGGTCCTCTTCCTCCTAATACAAGTGCTCAATTGGCAGAATTAGTGGCCCTAACAGAAGCCCTAAGACTGTCAAAAGAACAGAGAGTCAACATCTATACAGATTCTAAGTATGCCTTCCTGATCCTGCATGCTCATGCAGCCATTTGGAAAAAAAGAGAAATGCTAACTACAACAGGAACAGCTTCCCATAGGGATAAAAGGGAGGTCACTTTAATAGTTTTAGGGATAACAGATTAGTACAGTCCTTGCTGGAATCAGTTATGGGGTGATTGCCAATCATGTAACTGCAAAAAACCTAACCAAAGTGGTAGAGGACACCTCAGACCAGGTAGGCCTTGCCATTAAGGACATACAGAGGTCTTTGTGGTCCCTTGCCTGTATGGTTATGGGCCACCACCTGGCCCTAGATTTTCTTTTGGCCAAACAAGGGGGGTATGTGCCATCGCCAATACCTCCTTGTTGCACATACATAAACACTTCGGGCATTGTAGAGGAATGTGCAGATTACATTCTCCAACAGGCTAAGTGGCTCCGGGAGCAATCTCTTGAAACTCAGGTTTCTACACAGGTATGGGAACAAAAAAACCCTGGGTCCCCGCCAGGACTTGGTTCCTACCCTTTCTGGGCTATAGTTGCCCTATTCTCTGCTTGTGTTTGGGCCTTGCATTTTAAACTTACTTGTCAAGTTCGTTTCTTCTCGCCTAGAATCCATCAAACTACAAATGCCTCTGGTGGAGATGAAAACGACCTACTGCCGTCCCCTTGACGACCCCTCTCGCTGTGGGCCCCTTGTCAGCAGGAAGCAGTTACTGAATAGACCTCGTAATCCCTAACCCTAACCCTAACAGCAGTTAGAGGGACCATTGAGAGGGGGGGAATGAAGGACTAAAGGATGGACTGCAGGAGGTCCCAAAAGGTGTTAAGTGATCAAGGAGACACCTCTCCTTCCCAGGAAACCTCTGTCTGCACCTGAGAGACATCTCTGACCCCAGGCAATGCAAAAAAAGGCTATAAAACCCAATCCCCAACCTGACCCAGGGGATCACCGGTTTCTGGGTCCCCCTGCATTCTCCAATATGCAGTCTTTCTCTTCTCTTCTCTACAAATAAAATCTTTCCGACCTCTGCTGTTGGAGTCTGCCTGTGCTTTCATCCTCAGAGTGGGCTCAAGAACCCTGAACACCTGAAATTCCTGCGCGGGTCATCCGTGCATCAAAATGATGTAATGAAGTTGGGTTCCCTGATCTCAATGGGAAATAGAGGAGGTCAAAGTGGCCAAGCAGTGACACTGAGTATTCAGAGACACTGTGCCCAATTACTGAAATAAACCACAGAGCAAAAAGGTCATTCGTGTTTTCTCAGGCAGTGAAACTAAGTGACCTGGGGTGGGGGAGGAGCTCCTAAAAGACAGTTCAATGAGAAGTCAACTAAGGTGATACCAAGGTGATAAACGGCTCTCCGCGGAAGCAATCTAACCCAGGTCGCCACAATGACCTCTTATTCAGCTCCCAGACTAAGCGAGTTCACAGACATGGACCCCCATGAATGAGCAAGAGGCTGGGTGTGTTTGAGAAGGACCCTGCACTGCAGTCAAGGGTGTAGACCGTAAATCCCCCCCACACCTGAGGGACCAGGGGCCATTTGACTATGGGAGTTGGGCACTGGTCATAGGGAGAAGATCAGACCTACCAAAGAATGACTTGCATGTCGGGGATGTGAATCCCCACCGTGAACCAGGGCAGGAGAAAGACTCATTCCACAATACAGCATCTGCATAGATAATGGAAAATCCTTTACCCACGGAGCGAGGGCTGTGAGGGTAGAAAAAGCCAAATGGTAATTCTGGTGCTACCAGCACCTCCACCAAGACAGCACACTAGAAGCAATAATGTCCCCAGGCTCACCTCACTGTTGACTGTACTCCGTGCCCAGCCAGAATAAGCAGCAGCCAATGCTGAGCCTGGAGCACAGGACACACCGTCATGGTGAGGTCTGTGCTTTGTCTCACAGGGCTAGACGCATACTGTGGGGTCCTTTGCTCTCTCTGCATGCTACTCAATGCCATGCTCTATGGTGCCATGAAGTATTGCTTCCAACTAAGGGATATATGGCAAAGCGACCCGGATAAAGTCACACTCGTGGAACTCACAGACTCTCCAGAAACCGCCCCCATACAGTAGGCTTACTGGAATGTTGGAATGGAGTACAAGTGGCTTATTAGGATACCAGGTGAGAGGGCTGGTGGAGTAGCTCAAGTGGTAAGAGAGCCTGTTAGCAAGTGTGAGGCCCTGAGTTCAAAACCCAGTGCCATAAAAAAATTAAAATAGGAACCAGGTGAGAGATAGTAGCCAGAAATCCAACAGGAGACAATGGCCAGTTTATTGTCTCACTTCCTTCATGGCCAAAGGCACGGGTCCAGGACATACAGGAAGGATAAGGGAGGGTCTCACTACTGTGCCTAACAACCTACTGAAAGAATGTTTGCTTCTTGTCCCTGTGAACTGGAGTGGTTGACAAGTCCCACCATAGCTCTAATCAACAGAAAACGATGAGTGCCCTTGAGCCATCTGTGAAAACAACTGGCAAAGGAGAGTGTTGCTCTGTGGATCATGTTGACTTGGTTGGGTTGATGGGTCAAGAAGACTATGTTTGATATTTCCTTGGCCAGGGCCCCAGTCTCAGAAAAGTGCAGAAACTCCATAAAGACAAGGTCATTCAAGACTCACTCCCCATCTGAGGGAAGATTTGGGTCATACACTTGTTCAGATGAGGTGTTAGGAGGTGGCAAGGGATATGGAGTGAGTGGCAAAAGGGCACAGCTCTGATTGTTACCTGCTGCACATCCAAGACCTTAACTGTGTCATGTTATCTCCTCCTCCACCTTCCTCTCGTGATGTCATAGGAATTACTGGTGGCCTAGCACAGTGGGAGCATGACTTCATGGTCATTATCATGACAATGATTGAGTGATAACTCATGAGAATTGTGACTTCTGTATTGAGGACTCTGACTTCCATCTGGACAAAGGAAAGAATGACTGGCAACAGAGAAAAGGGTGGACTGTGAAGTGCACTTTCTGTTTTCTTCCCGGGATTCTTTATTCTCCCTTCTTCCCCGCTTCTCTGTGCTGTGAGTCACAGATCTACAGGACCTGTACCAATGGGATCTCCTGTCTTATGGAGTCCAGTGGGATTCAGCCAATGGAGAGCCCTAACACAGTGAGGTTGGAAAATTAACTTCCCAGCTCCCTCCTTGCCATTCAAGCTCTTTTAAGACAAACTCCGCCCCACTCTGCCCCTCTCTCTTTCCAGCAATGGCTCCTCTGCTCATCACCCTTTCAGGTCTAGGATGGAAACAAAGACGTAGCGTAACAACCCTAGGAAACTGTGCTAACCTTTTTGCTGACTTTTCTCAACCCCCATGTCAATGCTGACATCATTAACCCTCCTTCAGATACTCCAATGAGGTGAGCCTCCCTGTTTGTGCTGAAACAAATGACTGATAAAGAACAGCACACAGGTCACGGTGCTCCTCCACCTCACAGGTCAAGGTGATGTTCAAATGCTTTGGCTGCAACCTCCTAAAGACTCTGTTACCACCTGAAGCTAGGAAGGAGGTGTGGACCAGACCAGTGGAGGACACGCACTGGGTGGTGACTTTCTTAGTGAACTTTGTTCCTCCTCCCCCATGTCCTGCTCTCCCTTACATACAGAAATCTCAGCATGGGGAGAAAGAACAGAGACTTTATTACCAACCCGTGTGGCCAACACATCCATGTCCGCTCTCCTATATGTCAAGTGCCCCAGGTCCCGGACCCTCTTATAGGTTGCTATGAGGTGATGGAGCACATGTGGGGATAATAATGCATGGAGAGGATGGGGAAGTAATTTCTGGTACAAGGTCATTACATTTCAAGGTCAGTGGGAGGACTGGGTTGGATGGTCAGCAAGGGTTAAGACTCACAGGACAATGGATTTATCAGGGAGGGCAAAGCCCCCCACACCAAAGGGCTAGGGGTAGCCCTAGCCCCACCGCCCAAGCCAGGGAGGGGCCAGGGGCATCACTACTGGGGAGAACACTCTCAGTCTTCTGTTCAAAGGTTTCCTTCACAGAGAAGATCCCAAGAGTCTGGGCGTTGTTCAGCAGGGATCTTGAGGCTTGGGTCATGCAGCCCTGAATGCTCAATGTGGCTGAGAACCCACCTAGAGGTGAAAATCCAGTCAGAAGGATGCAGTTCAGCACACCTAAATACCGCAGACCCAGGGGTCCAGCCTCTACCTTCTTTATCTTTGAGACCCAGCCTTCTGAACTCACCTCCATTGAGGTTAATGTCACCATTGTAACAATGAGTAGTGCCCTTAGGGCAGGTGACCAATCTGGAGCTCTGGAAGCAGGACCCAGAGAACTGCACGCAGGCAAGACACTGCATGTCTCCTGGAGCAGGGGCAGCTGGGAAGCAGAGAGAATGTTGAGGTACACAAGTCTGCTATCAGCTGCAGCCACCCACTTGATAGTGTCCCTCCTTGTACCTGGCCGAGGGAGGGAGGTGAGCAGCTCACTGCTGCTGCTGGCTGAGTTGCAGAAGTCTGAGGAGCAGAACCGGGTATAGGAGGCCACCAGCATTCCAGGAGGCCGGGAGTGTACGGAGACAGCCTGGGAATTTTTTTGCCCAACTCTGCTGCAGCCTTTGCTCCCCACTATGAGTGATTTGTATCCTGAGGGCGTAAAAAAAGCAAAAGCTGGGGGGAGGGGAGAGGAGGGTCTGAGGGCAGCTGAGTCCTTAGCTTCCTTCCCCAAACAGAAGGTGAATGTAATCTCAGATTAGAAGAGCACAGGTCTGACCAGGTGTAGTGGCTCACCTCTATAATCTCAGCAACCTGGAGATCGGGAGGATCGTGGTTCACAAGACCAGCCCAAGCAAAAAGTTCATGAGACCCCCATCTCCACCAACACCATCCCAGCTAGGCAGGGAAGTAGGAATAGAAGGATTGCAGTCCAAGCTGGTCCCAGCAAAATGTGAGACCCCAATCTCAAAAATGACCAAAGCAAAAAGGGCCGGGGACGTGACTCAAGTGGTAACGCACCTACCTAGCAAGTGCAAGGCCTTGAATTCAAAGCCCAGAGTAGTGCAGGTCACATTTAGGGTCTGGCGAAGACTGGAGTCCTAGCCTGGGTCCTCCCCCTGCTCTGCCACCTCTAGGTCTTTTTCAAATGTTGCCTTCTCTGTAGAGCCTCTCCTGGGCCTCACCTCCCTCTCTCTGCCTCCTTTTCCTGCCGGATCTCTCTCCAGAACTCTTATTTCTTCATAGTTTTCTCCTTTCGGTCTACTTTTGTTTCCCCACTACACTGTAAAGCTGAAACACAGCTCTACAGTACTTAAAAGTAAGGTGCTTGATGCCCTTCCCCTCTTTTTCCGGGGGGTACTGGGGTTTGAACTCAGGGCCTCACACTTACTAGGCAGGTGCTCTACCACTAAGCCACTCCTCCAACCCTCAAGGATCATTATTCAAATGAACGAGGTCACTGAGGTTCCTCCCTGCCAGCGTTCCCTTCACATGGATGACTCCGTGACTACCTAGCAAGGTAGGTACTTTTTTTTCAGTGCTAGGGATGGAACTCAGGGCCTCTTGCATGCTAGGCAAGTACACTACCACTGAGCTACATCCCCCACCCTCTTTTTTGTTTGTTTGTTTATTTTTTGAGACAGGATCTTGCTAAATTGTCCAGACTGGCTTTGAACTTTTGACCATCCTGCTTCAGCCTACCAAGCAGCCGGGATCATAGGCGTGTGCTACCAGGCCCAGCTGGTAAGTACTATTGTTGCTTTTGCTTTAAGGTGCAGAGGGAGGAGGAGATGGGTAAAGATCTCCAGAAAACTGGGCAGGAAATCCAGGGCACAGCGTCTAAGACAAGGATGCACTGGACACGGAGCAGGTGTACAGCCTTTGTGCTCAGCCCACGCACCTACGTCTATGAGCAGCAGCGTCTCCTGACACACCTCCCCAGCATCGCACGTCTGCTGTCCATGTGCAGTCCATTCAATTGGGTCTTGAGCCAGGCTGCTGCCGAACATCAACAGGATCCCTCGGTAGCATGACACAGCATCTGGGGAGAGGAAATCACCAGGGTGTGTGAGCCAGGGAACCCTCCATGTCTGCCCTTCCAGATTCTACACTAGGGAAGGTGGTCATGTTCTGAATCACACTCCAGGTGACGTGGATACAGAGTCCCTCAATCTTGGATTTGAAAGGGACTTGGTTCAGGTGCCATGGCTCACAACTGTAATCCAGCTACTCAGGAGGCAGAGATTAGAAGGATCACAGTTCAAGGCCAGCCAGGGCAAAAAAGTTAGAGAGACCCTCATCTCAATTAGCTGGGTGTGGTGGTGTGCGCCTGTCATTCCAGACATAGAGGAGATGGTAGGTAGGAGATTGTGAGCTGAGGATGGCCCTGGGCAAAAAGAAAAGAATGCAATACCTTATCTGAAGAAAAATTAGTAAACGCAAAAAAAGGTTGTAGGCATGGAGCACCTCCCTACCAAGTGCAAGGCCTTGAATTCACACCCCAGTACTGCCGAGGAAGGAAGGAAGGAAGGAAGGAAGGAAGGAAGGTATGAGGGCCATGAATGTCTTCTCTCTACTTCCCTCTCTGATGAGGACAGATGGCATCCTGAGACCATGTACTACTTTTCTTTTCTTTTCTTTCTTTCTTTTTTTTTTTTTTTTTGGCACCACTGGGGTTTGAATTCAAAGCCTCACGCTTGCTAGGCAGGTGCTCTACCACTTAAGCCTCTCCACCAGTCCTTTTTTGTGTTGGGTATTTTCAAGATAGGGTTTCTCAGACTATATGCCTTGGCTGGCTTTGAACCTCAATCCTCCTGATCTCTGCCTCCTGAGTAGCTAGGATTATAGGCATGAGCCACTGGTGCCACCCTTTTGACTGGATTGCTTCATTTCCTCATTGCAACTCCCAAAGGTGGGGACATTATCACTGTCACCATTCTCACTTTAAGACAGAAGAACAGAGACAGGAATGGTTGAGTAGCTTGCCCAGTGTCCCACAGCCAGAAGAGACATAGCTGGGCTCAGAACTCAGCATTCTGACTCCTTGAGGTCCAGGTTGGTCCATAGGTTTTGTGACAATCTTCAGCCATCTTGGTCCCAGTGGCCTTCAGGAGTCTAGCTGGACAACCACAAGCTTGGGCTTTATGTTAATGTCATTCCATGACTAACAGTGACATGTCCCACGTGAAGAAACTCTTGGACCTGGGACTCACAAGCACCTGTACCCTTCACACTGGCCCTGTGATGGAAGTCTGCTGACTTCCCCATATCACAGATGACAAAGGTGCAGCTCCAAACCTGATCCTTCTCCCTGCACCCCAACCCACCCCACCTTCCCATGTTGGTCGATGGCAGCTCCTGTCCTGCCTTTGCTCAAGCTGCAGTACTGCATCATTCTTGACAGTCCTTCCTCTCAAGTCACATGTTGCATCCATCAGGAAATCCTGTAGGCTTAAGCTGCAAAATTTCTCCACAACCTGACCACTCGCCACCACCTCTACTGCTTCCACCCAGGTCCAAGACCCCATGGCCTTCACCTGCCTCCTCATGGGTCTCCCTGAGTCCCCCCAAGCATACTTCCTCACTAAGGAATTGGACAGGGTTCTGGTGAGAGTGAGGGTCAGCACAGTCTGGGAGAGTGGCAGACATTTCCCTGCCTCAGGGCCTTTGCATTTGCTCCCCTCCTTTAATGTCTAGAATCACCTTCTTCTCCACTCCAATGAAAGAGACTCAGTGAGATTTTGAGACTTTTGGCACTCAAATACTGTTATTGCTCAAAGGCTGACTCAATAGCAAAGTGAAGACTGGAACTCACATCTCTCTGGTGCAGACGCTAGTACTTAACAGCTGTGCCCTGACCTCTTACTGGAACCGCTACCTGGCTCTTCAGGGGGGCAGACAAGGATTTGCATGTTCTAGCTCCTTATATCATCTTCAAAATGGGCTCCTGCTGTTGACTGGTTGTAAGTAATTGGTGCTTTTGCACCTGGCTCTCATCTACTACTGGGCCTTTGCACAGGCTGTTCTGCTGTCCAGAAATGCCCGTCTCCTTCACTTACTCCCTGACTCCCAGCTTCCAATGCTTGGTGTTGCTGATGCTAAACCACAGAGCTGAACTTAACCAGGGAAGCAAAGCTTCTCCAAAATTTGGCTATCATGTTGAAAGCTAATAGAATCTGGACATATTGATGTATTAAGAGCATTTACTTACAGCATAGTGGTTGAATTTGGGGAGGCACGTATGTGGTTTGGGTGTACACTTGTGCGTATGCTGCGGGGGAATGTGAGGGGTACATGCGTGGTGTGTGTGCTGTGGGATGGTGGGGTTCTAGGTATCTGTGTTTTGGGTGGGTATGGTGTGGGTGGCGTGCAGTGTGTGTCGTATGAATTGTGTATTGTGGGTTGTGAGTGGACTGTATGGGATTTGTGACATATTTGTGGTGTATGAGAGGTATAGGGACCAAGAGTGTGGTATGTAGAAGGTGGTGTGTACAAGGAATAGTGTGACCCATGTTTGTGTCTGCCATGTGCACTGTGTATTGTGTGTGGTGTAGACAGTATGGTTCTGAAACACTTTGCACACTGTGAATGTTACCGGTTCCAGAGACAAAGGTCAAACCATTAAAACCTATATTAATCAAAAGAAAAAAATTTCTCAGACTCGGTGGCTCCCTCCTTCCTCAACACCATTCTGTAGCTTGTCATCCTTGGGAGAAATGACACCCCAGCCTGGCTTTCCAAGGGCTTAACCCCTCCAGCTACCCCTCTCCCCAGCTACCTCTTCACTCTCTACCATATCCTTAACACCAGTTTCTTGACTCCCTGACTTAACCAAGCTTGGACAGCTCTGCCTCCATCTTCCACACCCACCTGGTCCACCTGGAACCACTTGTAGTCGCCCCTCAATCTTTCCTCCCCAGCCCCGTGTCAAGCCCATCTCAGGCACAGGTGAGGAACCCTGCCTGAAAACAGCACCTTGTCTCCCACCTCAGGGTCTTCCCTGCTAAGAGAGCTTTTCCCCTTCTCCCAAGAAACTTGGGCTCAACTTTAGACAGGCCATCGCCTTGGGGAAGCCCACTCTAAAACTACCCCAGAGATAGCATATTCCTGTTCTGAGCCCCACACTCTCCTCTCCCAAGCTGTGGTGTCTCCTCTTCCCAGTTATGAAGCCAGAGTCTGGCCATCGGAGGTTCCATGGGTGACGGTGGCATCCTGCATGGCCTCACCTTGCCGTGAACTATCCGCAGCTCCCACCCTCGGGCAGCTTTGTGCAGTACCAGACAGGAAACCCTGGGGTCAGTGAAGTCGAGCCCACATCCTCAACTCTCTCAATTAGGTCTGGTAAACAGGTTAAAACATGAAGAAGAAAGTCGGATGACTTTCTCCTTTGAGATCCACACAGGCAGATAAGGAAACTGAGGCAGGGTCAGGGAACGCCTTGCTCTCAGAGAAGCCAGGATGCCTAGCTGACCACCCTTCCCTTTGCCTCACAGCCTGCTTTATTGAGACACTCCGTGGTACTGTCCATTTGCCAGGTGTGTGACACTGGCTGCATTAAAGTGGTAACTGGAGTTACACCCAGAGTCCCCACTTAACTCTTGCTTTCTCTGTCAGAACCTAAATAGAGAATAGGGGTGGTCAAAAGGGAAGCTGGCCACCCTGGGTTTCCCAGGACCAGCATGTGTGGAAATAGAACTGGAGGCAAACAGACAATTCCAGCAAGATGAGCAGAGGCGGTGGTGAGCTGACTGCACATAAAGTCACATACAGAACAACCCACAGTGCGTCCCAACCTTCCTCCCACTCTTCCTGCCCTCCTACCTATACACGACACCCAAATAACTTAGTCCAGCATCATTTAAAGGGCCCTTCAATGGTCTCTGAACTTGGACCACAATCCCTCTCTCTCTCCCTCCTTCAGCTGGCACTCCATCTCCCAAACCCTACAGCTACCTGGGAATTCACCAATCCCTCCTTGCCTGTGCTGAGTGAGTACTAGGCATCTATGTGACTGGGGGCTGTGGCTGTGGCCCATGACTCTGGATGTGCCATCTCTCACAAGGATCATCTTCCCCAAGGCTCAGTGCAGAGTTTCCCATATGGGACTCACCTGCTTTAAGATTGCAGTTCTCACTCACATCCATGACACCAATTTTCTGGGTCCCGTTAAGCAGGTTGCATCCTGGCTGGGGCATGCAGCCCTGCACCCTCAGATTGGAGGTGATCTCCCCTAGGAAAAGAGAAGAGGAAGAGACAGAGATGCTGATGAAAACACCATCCAAGCTGCAGAGGGAAAGCCAGATCTAGCCCCACCCTCCTCTGGCTCTCATGCCCTGCCTCAACTTACCCTTACTCCCCAGAATCTCAGACCTCAATGCCCAATCCTCCCCATTCAGTCCCCACAGGGACCCGGATGTCCTGACTTACCTCCTCTGAACTTGAGGACTCCATTGTAGCAGTGAGTGTGCCCAGCTGGGCAGATTTGCTCTGGTGTGTCCTCAGGACAGACACCTCTAGCAAAGCAGATGGGGCAGCGCAGGGTCCCTGGGACTGTGGAGGTGACAGGCACAGTGAGGGGCTCTGAATGGGCTCTGGGTTTGGATCAGATGCCTTCTCCACCCCCACTGTACTGTCCCTAAGAATCAAGCTGCTCAGGTGCCCAATGTGCCCTCCTGGGCTCCTCTCCTGTAGGCCCAGCTGCGGGGCATGGGATGGGTGCCTGGTGAGAGAGCAAGGACCAGAAGGACTGTGGGGTCTGCAGGTGAGGCTGGGAGGGGTGCCTGGCCCCAGGTGTGGTGAGGGGGGGCTTCTGATGCTGGACACAGACAAAGGCTTGGCCAAGGATGGAAGAGGGTTCCCTGGAAGGACCCAGTGACTTCATCCACAATTTCTAAACATTCAAGGAAGAAGACACATGTCCTGTTCACAAACCATTCCAGAGGTTTGTGAAACAAACTCTATTTAACATCCTGCACGGAGAGTGGATGGTTGCAGGACAATGTCTTTTAGAAAGAGGAAATGCAAAAACCCTCAATGTCTCATTAGTGAAGCAAACCCAACAGTATAGAAAGAAGGGCTGTGCAGGAGGAGTCCAGGTTAGGATCAGCACTGGCTCTGTGGTTGGTGGTTTAGCATTAGAAAATCCACCCAGCAGGGGTGTGGCTCAGTGATGGAGCACCTGCCTAGCAAGCAGGAGGCCCTGAGTTCAAACCACAGTACTGCAAATAAATAAATAAATAAAAATATCCACCCAGTTTGCTGGTCCAGGACACTTGGAAGAAGTGGGCCAGGGGAGTCCTGAAATTCCTTTGGACACAAGGGTGGGGAGGCAAGAGTGGGAAAGACATGGAGAGTAAGGGACCAGGGAGAAAAGGAGCTAGAGAGCAATCAAGGGGAGGAGAATGGAGCCAGTGATCTAGCAAGGCTGCTGTCCAGCAAGGGAGTGTCTGCAAATTAACAGCCCCTGTGTGCTCACTTTGGCCTCTGAGCCCTGTCCTCCTTCTCCCAATATCACTTTCCCTCCTATTTCCTCCCTTGGTACCTGTGGCAGGGGGCGGGGCCCAGAGAGGGACTGTGCTAGACAGGCCATTGCAGAAGTCTCCAACGCGGCACACACGGGTGTAGGAGACGATGGAGAGCCCAGGGCCCACCCTGTGCTCAGTGACACTGGTCTCTTGGTCCTCTGCGGTGGTACAGCCCTTGGTGAGCACCAAGTATACCTGGGGTCCTGGACAGGAAGAAGGCAGCAGGTGGGAGTGGAGTTAGGGTTCTGGTCACTTAAAGGGTGGTTGTGCATCCTGAGATGGGTGACATGTTGGAAGGAGGGGACTGGGAACTGAAGGGTTTGCAGCTGAGGGAAGGGACAGGGCTATTGGAATTTGGAATGAGGGTTCCACAGTCTCCACACTGGATGTTTGGGGTGGAACTGAGTAGGAAGAGGGGGGTCTCTGCACTGAGGGACCCTTCTCACCATTCTCCATGATCATCAGCGTGTCTTGGCACCCTTCGCCGGCCTCACAGGTTTTCTTGCCAGCCGTCCACTGGAGGGGCAGGTCAGATATATTCTGCACGGACTCAAGTGTCCCCCACTGGCATTCCAGAGCCTGTTCAGCTAAGATAGGGAGAGTAAATCCATGTTAGCAGGCTCCCTGACTAACTCCATGTGCAGGCAAATGCCCTGGCTGCTGGAACCTCATTCACTGGCAGCAAGAAGTGGAACTGTCTGGAACCTTCTGTTGGGAGGTACCAGGCAGGAAACCTTGGTGTCAGTAACATCCAGCCCATGTCCTCGAGTATCCCAATCTAGTCAGACAGACACTGAACCACAGAGGAATGTCTGCTGAACTCACTCAGCTCTCACCTTGGAGCTCTAAGGGTTCTGGTGACACAGGCAGATGAGGAAACTGAGGCAAGGACAGGGAACACCATCCTACCAGGGAAGCCAGGACTCCTACCCAACCTCCCTTCCCCGCCATGGTTTCCCTTTGCCTTTCATCCTTGCTTTTTAAGACACTCCGTGGTACTGTCCATCAGCCAGGTGTGTGCCACTGGCTGCATTGAACTAGAAACCAGGGTCACACCCAGAGTCCCTACTTAACTCTTGCTTTCTCTGTCACAATTTGATTCCCCCTTGATTTCTTCTCTGACATTCTTTCCTATGAAGCAAGGCCACTGGGGTGCTCCAGTACCATGGGTGAGGATGGAAAGGGGTGGCCAAGAGGATGGGGGTGGTCACAGGGAAGCTGGCCACCCAGGGTTCCCCAGGGTTAGTGGGTGTGGAAATAGAATTTAGAAAAAACTGGACACTCACAGCAAGACAAGCTGCAGATGGTGAGCACTGACTGCACTTAGTCACATGCCAAGCAACTCACAGCACACCCCGACCTTCCTCCCACTCACCGTGCCCTTCTGCTTGGACACAACACTCTTAAGTCACAGCCCAGCATCATTTAAAGGGCCCATCGATGGACTCCTGACCTTGAACCAAAATCCCCCTCTTTCTCTCCTTCAGCTGGCACTCTACCTCTCATATCCCTACAGCTATGTGGAGATGCGCCCCCCTGCACACGCTGAGTGAGTAATAAGCATCTATGTGACTGGAGGCTGTGGCCTTGGCCCATGACTCTGGATGTCCCGTCTCTCACCAGGATCATCTTCCCCTAGGTTCAGTGCAGAGCACAGCCTCAGTTTCCCATATGGGACTCACCTGCTTTAAGATTGCAGTTCTCACTCACATCCATGATGCCAATTTTCTGGGTTCCATTAAGCAGGTTGCATTCTGGCTGGGGCATGCAGCCCTGCACCCTCAGATTGGAGGCGATCCCCCCTAGGAAAGGAAGAGGGGGTAGAGACAGAGACACTGGAACAAGCACCAGCTCCAGGAGGCCAGCCCCACCCTACTCTGGCTCCCATGCCCTGCCTCAACTTACCCTTACTCACAGACTCTCAGATCTCAATGCCCAGTCCTCCCCATCCAGTCCCCACAGGGACCCGGATGTCCTGGCTTACCTCCCCTGAGCTTGAGGACTCCATCGTAGCAGTGAGTGTGCCCAGCTGGGCAGATCTGCTCTGGAGCGTTCTTAGGACAGTCATCTTTAGCAAAGCAGACTGGACAGCGCAGGTTCCCTGGGACTGAGGAGGTGACAGGCACAGTGAGGAGCACTAGAGGACTCTGGGTTTGGATCAGCTGTCTTCCCCTCACTGTACTGTCCCTAAGAATCAAGCTGCTCATGTACCCAAACATGCCTTCCTGGGATCCTCTCCTGCAGGCCCAGTACAGGACATGGGATGTGTGCCTGGTGAGAGAACAGGGCCAGAGGGACTGTGAGGTCTGCAGGGACACCTGGGGCTGAGGGGAGGGAGATGCCAGGCCCCAGGTGGGGGTATGAGGGGCCTTGCAAGGCTGCACACAGATTTTACCAAAGATGGGTTGGGGTGCTGTGTGTCAGTGGCTCACGTGTGTAATCTTAGCTAGTCAGGAGGCAGAGATCAGGAGGATTGTGGTTCGAAGCCAACCCTGGGCAAATATTTCAAGAGACCCTATCTCAAAAATACCCAACACACAAAAGGGCTGGTGGGGTGACTTAAGTGGTAGAGTGCCTGCCTAGCAAGTGATAGCCTGAGTTCAAATCCCAGTACTGCCAAAAATAAAAAAGAAGGATTGGGGTGCCCTGGAAGTACCCAGCAGCCTCACCCATCATTCTACTAAACAGTTAAGGGAGACAGCTTTACAGTACTGAAACACAATGCACCCCAAACTCTATTTAACACCAGGTAAACAGAGTGGATAATGTCCCTTTGAAGAAGAAATGGAAAAACCCCAAATGAAACATTAATGAGCCAAACCCAGCAGCACATGAAAAAGGGTTGTGCAGGAGAAGTGGGATGGGATCAGGGCCAGCTGTGGTCGGTGGTTTTAACATCCGAAAATCTACCTAGTTGCCTGTCAGTTGGAAGAATTGGGCCAGGGCAGTCCTGAGACTCCCCTGAAGGTATACTGGACCAGTGGGATGGAGGCAGGAGGGAAGAGATGGAGAGTGAGGGACCAGGGAAAGACAGACTGAGCAGTGGACCGATGGAGGCTGCCATCCCACAAGTAAGGCTGCTAGCCTTACTTGTAAGGGAGCATCTATAAATAAACAGCCCCATGTGCTCAGTTTAATCCCACGACCCTGTTCTCCTTCCTCTTGAGGGCCCCATCCCTCTCATCCTCTAGCATAAAGCCTCCCTCTGGCACCTGTGGCAGGAGTCGGGGCCCAGATAGAGGCTGTGGTGGACAGGTCATTGCAGAAGTCCCTATGGCGGCACACGTGGGTATAGGAGATGATGGAGAGCCCAGGGCCTGCTCTGTGTTGGGTGACTCTGGCCTCTTGGTCCTTGGCCATAGTGCAGCCCTTGGTGAGTATCAATGTCACTTGGGGTCCTGGAAGGAGAGAGGGGTAGAGATCAGGACTTCAGCACCCAGGAGGGATGCTATGCCTTGCAAAGTGGGTGGGATGATGGGCACTGGAGGGGTTGCACCTGCTGAGGAAGGAACAAGGCTCCTCCCACCAGGGCATGGCCTCTAGAATCCCAAGCAGCTCGCTGGGGGCAGGGCTGAGTGGAAAGGGGTGGGGTCTTAGACTGAAAGGTCCTCACCATTTTTTATGATCATCACGGTTTCCTGGCACCCTTCGCCAGTCTCACAGGATTTCCAGCCAGTTGTCCAGTGCTGGGGGAAGTCTGATGCTTGCTTTATGGCCTCTATTGTCCCACTCTTGCATTCCAGGGCCTGCACACCTGGGATAGGGAGAGCAAATCCATCACCACAGCTGTTCCACCTTGACCCCTAAGGAAACCCCCAACCAGGCTGGACCTAATCAGAGGCAGCCACAAGTTAACGCCTGTTCTAGGCCATCTCTTGTCCACGAGGAAGGAAACCTTGATGTCAGTGACATGTAGCCCCATGTTCTTATGTCTCCCCAAATAGTCAGGTAAAAAAATTCAACACAAGGAGGAACATTTGCTGAACTCACTCAGCTCTCACCTTGAAGCCCTAAGCGTTCTGGTGACACAGGCAGATGAGGAAACTGAGGCAAAGACAGGAAAGACCAGGGTCCCAGAGAAGCCAGGAGGCCTAGCTGACCTCCCTTCTCCACCATGGCTTCCCTTTGTCTCCCAGCCTTGCTTATTGAGACACTCCGTGGTACTGTCCATCTGCCAGGTGTGTGACACTGGCTGCATTGAAGTGGTAACTGGGGTCACACCCAGAGTCCCCACTTAACTCTTGCTTTCTCTATCACAATTTGATTCCTCCTTCTGATATTCTTTCCTATGAAGCAAGGCCACAGGAGTGCTCCAGTACCATGGGTGGTGATGGAAAGGGGTGGCTGAGAGGATGGGGGTGGCCAAAGGGAAGCTGGCCACCCTTGGTTTCCTAGGGCCAGCATGTGTGGAAATAGAACTGGAGGCAAACAGACGATTTCAGCAAGATGAGCAGAGGCGATGGTGAGCTGACTGCACATAAAGTCACACACAGCAACCCACAGCACACCCTGCCCTCCTGTCTATACACGACACTCTTAAGTCACTTAGCCCAGCATCATTTAAAGGGCCCATCGATGGACCCTCTCTCTTTGTCTCTCTCTCTCTTTCAGCTGGCAACTCTACCTCCCAACCCCCTACAGCTACCTGGGGATACCCACCTTGAACATGCTGTGTGAGTTATAAACATCCATGTGACTGGAGGCTGTGGCCTTGGCCCATGACTCTGGATGGCCCATCTCTCACAAGGATCATCTTCCCCAAGGCTGCGGTGCAGGGCACAGCCTGTTACCCATGTGGGACTCACCTAGCTTAGGACTGCAGCTCTCACTCACATCCATGATGCCAATTTTCTGGTTCCCATCAAGCAGATTGCATCCTGGCTGGGGCATGCAGCCCTGCACCCTCAGATTGGAGGCGATCCCCCCTAGGAAAGGAAGAGGGGGTAGAAACAGAGACACTAGAACAAGCACCAGCTCCAGGAGGCCAGCCCCACCCTACTCCGGCTCCCATGCCCTGCCTCAACTTACCCTTATTCCCAGACTCTCAGATCTCAATGCCCGGTCCTCCCCACTCATTCCCTGAAGGGGCCCGGATGTCCTGACTTACCTCCCCTGAGCTTGAGGACTCCATTGTAGCAGTGAGTGTGCCCAGCTGGGCAGATCTGCTCTGGTGTGTCCTCAGGGCAGTCACCTTTAGCAAAGCAGATGGGGCAGCGCAGGGTCCCTGGGACTGAGGAGGTGACAGGCACAGTGAGGGGCTCTGACTGGGCTCTGGGTTTGGATCAGATGCCTCCCATACACACTGTGATGGCCCCAAGAATTAAGTTGCTCCAGCTCCTAAGGTGCCCACTCGGACTCCTCTCCTGCAGGCCCAGCGGGGCAGGGGCATGCAATGTGTGCCTGGTCAGAGAGCAAGGGTCCGAAGGACTGTGAGGTCTGCAGGGACACCTGGACTTGAGGGGTGAAGAGTGCCAGGCCCCAGATGGGGTGGGAGGGGACTTCTGAGGCTTGGTGCAGGCACGGACTTGGCCAAGGAAAGGAGAGATGCCCTGGAAAGACCCAGTGACTTCACCCACACTACACCATCGAGGAAGACAGCATGTCTTGTTGGCCGACCATTCCAGAGCACAGAAGCATGCATCATCACACTATGTTCCGTTAAAAGAATGCACAGAGGTGATTGCTACAGGCCAATGTCCCTTCAGGAAGAGGAGATGCAAAAACCCCAAATGAGACATTAATGAAGCAAACCCAGCAGCACAGAAAGGACAAAGAGACAGTGCAACATCACAGCCAGAGTCTGAGGCTGGTTTTTTAACATCAGAAAATCCACCCAGTTTGCTGGTCAAGGACAGTTGGAGGAAATGGCCCAATGGGAGACCTGAGGTGCCTGGGAACAGCAGGGTAGGGCATGGGAGAGTGAGCACGAGGTGGAGAGCATGGGATCAGGGAGAGAGCAGGTCATCAGGGAGTGAGTGTGCAAGGCTGCCATCCAGCAAGGGAGTGTCTATAAATAGCTCCTGTGTTTAATCCCACAGCCCTGTCCTCCTTCTTCCTGACAGCCCCATCATAGCCTCCTCTAGCACCTCCTCTAGCACCTCCTCTAGCACCTCCTCTAGCACCTCCTCCCTCTGGCACCTGTGTTAGTGGGCGGGACCCAGAGAGATCTGATGGTCGACAGGTCATTGCAGAGGTCCTCATGTCGGCACACGCGGGTGTAGGAGGTGATGAAGAGCCCAGGGCCTGCCCTGAGCTGAGAGACTGTGGGTTCTTGGTCCTCTGCCATAGTGCAGCCTTTAGTGAACACCAGGTTCACTTTGGGTCCTGGGAAAAGAGAGGGCGATAGGCAGGTGAGAATGAGAACTCCAGCATCCTAGAAGGAAGTTCTGTGTGAGGCTGTGGGTGCCATGCTGGAAGAGAGGGACCTGGGCACCACAGGGCTTGCACCTGCTGAGACCTGGCTGCTGGTCCTGGGGGCGGGGCTGAGCGCAAGGGGCGGGGCCTCGGACTGAGGGCCTCTGCTTACCGTTGTGTATGAGCATCACTGTCTCTTGGCAGCCCTCGCCGACCTCACAGTCTATCCAAGCACTTGTCACCGTCAAGGGCAACTCTGACACATTTCTCACGGTCTCTAGTGCCCCCCACTGGCATTCCAGAGCTTGCACACCTGGGATAGGGAGAGCAATCCATCTTAGCAGGTACTGTTGCCAGAACTCCAAGAATACCACCTTCCAGGTGGGACCGAACATGGGCAGCAACAGTTGAGCCATGTTCAGAGCCATCTCTTGTGCTATACAAAGAAAACTGGTGTCCATGTCATCAAGTCTCCCAATCTAGCCAGGCAAAAAGATGCAGCACAAAGAGGAACGCTTGCTGAATCCAATTAACTCTCCCCTTGAAGCCCTATGACTTCAGGTGACATGGACAGATGAAGAAACTGAGGCAGGGGCAGGAAAGACCAGGAAGCCTAGACCCCTACCTGCACTTTGCCTTGCAGTCCTTCTAATTGACACACTCCATAGTGCTCTCCATCTCTGTCCCACTCTGACTGCATTTAAGTGCATAAATGGGGCCACCCCAAGAGTCCCCACTTGCTTTCTCTGTCACACCTGAAGCCCACTTGATTTTCTCTCTGACTTTTGTTCACAGGCAGCCAGGCCACTGGGTCCATTGCTCCAGAACCATGGGTATCAATGGATGAGGGATGCCGAGAGAATGGGGTTGGTCACAGGGAGACCCTGGGTGACCCAGGGTCGGGGAGCATGCAGAGCAATTAGAAATAACCACTTACTCCCAGGACAAAACCTAGGTGACTTGACACAAAGTCACATGCAGAGCAACTCACAATATACCCCTGCCTTCCCTCCTCCTGTCCACTTTGACAGGCCACCCTAACTTATTTGCTCTAACATCATTTCAGACACCAACCAGTGTGTTCCTGTCTGATAACCACCCCCCACCCCGGACTACAACCCTCTTTCTCACTCTTTCAGCCGGACCTCTCTAACTGGCACACTGATCTCCCATCCCTCCCCTCCCCCAGAGAATCCTCTCCCTTCACACACTGAGTGAGTCATAAGCTCTATGAGACTCTGGATGTCCCTTCCTCCCAAAGATCATCTTCTCCAAAGCTCAGTATAGGGCACAGCCTCAGTTTCCCATGTTGGACTCACCTAGCTTAGGACCGCAGCTCTCACTCACATCCATGGCCCCAATATTCTGGGTTCCATTGAGCAGGTTGCAGCCTGGCTGGGGCATGCAGCCCTGCACCCTCAGGTTGGTGGTGATCCCCTCTAGTACAGGAGGAGAGGAGGAGACATTGACGAAAGCACCATAAAATCCTCAGAGGGAAGGCCAGCTCCAGGAGGCCAGTCCCGCCCTCCTCTGGCTCCCATGTCCTGCCTCAACTTACCCTTACTCCCAAGGCTCTCAGATCTCAATGCCCAGTCCTCCCCACACAGTCCCCACAGGGACCTGGATATCCTGACTTACTTCCTCTGAGCTTGAGGACTCCATCGTAGCAGTGAGTGTGCCCAGCTGGGCAGATCTGCTCTGAAGTATTCTTAGGACAGTCACCTTTAGCAAAGCAGACTGGACAGCGCAGGTTCCCTGGGACTGAGGAGGTGACAGGCACAGTGAGGAGCACTAGGGGTCTCTGGGTTTGGATCAAATGCCTTCCCCGCACTGTACTGTCCCTAAGAATCAAGCTGCTCAGGTGCCTAATGAGCCCTCCCGGGCTCCTCTCCTGCAGGCTCAGCTGCAGGACATGGGATGTGTGCCTGATGAGAGAGCAAGAGCCAGGGGGACCGTGAGGTCTGCAGGGACACCTGGACTTGAGGGGTGAGGGGTGCCAGGCCCCAGGTGGGGTGGGAGGGCACTTCTGAGGCTTGGTGCAGACACAAACTTGGCCAAGGAAAGGAGAGATGCCCTGGAAGGACCCAGTGCCTCCACCCACAAGATCTACCAAACAGTCAAGGAAGCCACCTTTTATTCACACACTACTCAAGAACACAGAAATACAAAACACACTCCAAACTCTAACACCAGGCAAGGAGTAGGGATTGTCCCTTAAGAGGAAGAAGTAAAAAGCCAAAACCAAAAAAACCTAAATGAGACATTGATGAAACAAACCCAGCAGTATGGAAAGAAGGGCTGTGCAGGAGGAGTCCGGGTTAGGATCAGGGACTGAGTCTGAGGCTGGTGGTTTAATAGGAAATCCACCGGAGGCATGGCTCAAGTGGTAGAGCACCTGCTTAGTAAGCCAGAGACCCTGAGTTCAAATCCAGTGCTGCAAATATATATATATATATATCCTCCCAGTTTTCTGGACCAGGGCAGTTGGAAGAAGTGGGCAAGAGGAGTCCTGAGGGGCTGGGATGTAGCTCGGTGGTACAGCGCTTGCCTAGCATGCGTGAGGCCCTGGGTTCGATCCCAGCACCAAAAAAGAAAAGACAAAAAAAAAAAAAAGAGGAGTCCTGAGGTTCCTGTGGACCGCAAGGAGTAGGGGAGAGATGGAGAGTGAGGGACCAGGGAGAAAAGGAGGAAGAGAGCACCAAGGAAGGGATGAAGTGAGTAATCTAGCAAGACCACCATCTAGCAAGGGAGTGTCTGTAAAGAAGCAGCCTCATGTGCTCATGTGATCCACACAGTGCTGTCCTCCTTCCTCCTGACAGCCCCTCTCCTCCACCACGGGTACCTGAGGGAGTGGGCAGGACCCCGAGAGCCTCAGTAGTGGACAGGTCATTACAGAAGTCTGCGTGGCGGCACACGTGGGTGTAGGAGATGATGGAGAGCCCAGGGCCCGCTCTGTGCCGGGTGACTCTGGGCTCTTGGTCCTCTGCCGTGGTGCAGCCTTTGATTAGCACTAAGTTCAGTTTTGGTCCTGCAAGGACACAGAGGGACAAGTAGGGTAGGGACCAGGACTCCAACATCCTAGGTGGAGGTCATGCCTCCTGAGGTGGGTGCGAGGCTGGAGCAGGGGGACTGGACACGGGAGGGTTTGCATCTGCTGAGGCAGGGGAGAGTTCTTCTAAGACCCCACCCAGTGTGCTGGTGGTCAGGCATGACTGAGTGAAAGGGGATGGGGTCTTTGCACTGAGGACTCCTTCTTACCATTCTCTATGATCATCAGTGTGTCTTGGCAGCCTTCACTGACCTCACAGGTTTTCTGGCCACCTGTCCAACTGAAGGGCAGTTCCAATACATCTTGCTCGGTTTCTATCGTCCCCCTCTGGCACCTCAGAGCCTGTACACCTGCAATGGGGAGAGGGAACCCATTGTAAGAGGTTCTGGAGTTCAAACTCCCGGGAAATCCTCTTCCCACTTGTGGTCCTCACTCACAGGGCAACAGGGCAGCGACCCCCAGAATGATCAGTAGTGGTGCAGGGTCCATGTCCAGTTTGTGGCTGCAAAGTCCCCGTGCTCTTGAACCAGGAAACGCAACTCTTTTATGCCTCACATTGAACAAGGCAGCCAGGAAAAGAGGGGGTGGAGCTTCTTGCTGTGTGAGTCCTGGGCACTGTCCTCTGAGTCCAACTGCGTGGGTACCTGGGAGGCCTCTCCTCCTCAAACCCTTATTCTTGAGGTGCAGGAGTCCAGGTCCCAAATCTTTTTCCTCAGACTCTGGAGTCCAAGCCCCAGCCTCCTCCCCAGACCCAGGGAACCAGGACCCAACCTCCCTCCCCAGACCCAGGGGTCCAGGCCCAGCCTCCATCCCCAGACCCAGGGGACCAGCCCCAGCCTCCTCCCCCAGACCCAGGGGACCAGGCCCCAACTTCCCTCCTCAGACCCAGGGGACCAGGCCCCAGCCTCCTCCTCAGACCCAGGGGTCAGAGCCCAGTCCCTCCTTATAGACCCCAGAGTCTAGTGTCTCCAGCAGCCTCCACATTAGAAATGGAGCTATCCTGAGTTCCAGTGTCAATGCTCCAGACTACAAGACCTCTTTTCTCCCTGGTCCAACCATGTGGCTCCCTGCCCCCACTACGTTTCATAGTTGTGTGGGAGCCCTGTTTCTTCATTTTGTGGCATCCTTGTCACCTTCTTCTCCAGTGGGGAAATGGCCCAATTGCCTGTGAGGATGTTGTGCAATTGCTCAGACACCTCCTTAATCCCTGCCCAGCCTCTGCCCCTGCTGGCTGCCCACTTTCCTTCTTTTTCTTTCCTTCCTATGTTGCCTTCCCTTTTGTCCTCCTTTCCCTGACTCTCAGCCTTTTCTTCTGTTCTCTTTCTCAGAGCACAGCATAAGACTTGGAGTCCCCTCTTCCTCGCCACCTGGGAAGGAGGAGAGGTAGGGCACAGCCCAGGAAGTGGGTGGTCATGGAGGCTGAGCATCTATGAAGAGTTAAGATATTCTTGATTATGCAAAATTTCTTTGCCACATACAGAAGGAAGAAGTGGTGTGCTAAAAAACCAGCTATTTCATAAAAATAGCACCCACAAATGTTGGCACCACAAATTTTTGTGGTGTAACTGCTCCTAGACATCTGATTTTAAGTACCCCAAATTCAATTACCCTTTCTTTCCTTCTTTCTTTTCTTCTTTCTTTCTCTTTCTTTCTTCCTTTCTTTTCCTTCCTTCCTTCCATCTTTCTTTCTTTCTTTCTTTTCTTCTCTCTCCCTTCCTTCCTCCCTTCCATGTGCGTTTGGGACAGGGTGTCACTGTATAGCCCAGCTGGCTTCAAACTTGTAATCCTACTGCCTCAACCTCCAGAGTGCTTGAACTCAGGGCTCCATGCTTGCAAAGCAGGTTCTCTACTGATTGAGCCACACCTCCAGTCCATTTTGCTCTGCTTACTTTGGATATTGGGGTATCACAAACTATTTCCCTGGGCTGACCTCAAACTGCGATCCTCCCAATCTCAGCCTCCCAAGTAGATAGGATTACAGGTGTGAGCCACTGGCTCCATCAGCTTTTGCAAGCCATCATGTTGGGTAAGGAGGGAGACAGGGAAGAATAAGAGCTGTCGGTGACATCAGGACCAGATGCAGATGTATGTGAAAGAGAGCAGAGAGGCAGAAGAGCAGAGGAGAAAGAAATGAATAAGGAACTTGCAACTGCGAGTTTATTTTTGCCAATGTTATACATCCTATTTTAACTTGTGGTTACAAATTTAGTGTTTGTCACACAGGCTCAGGGACTTATTTGTCTTATCTCCTACTGTGCCCATACTACCCACGTTGCATACAGTAGATGCTCAATTATTACTTACCAGTTGAATAAAAGAAGGAAGGAAGAGAAGGAGGGATGGAGGGAAGACAGTCACAGCACCACCACTATGGTTCTATAGTTTTGCACTGTAGCATTGCCCCTCTCTCCAGGAATTCACATTGCTGCCCTCTGGAATGATGTGTGGCCTGAAGCATTGTCCCTGAGGAGAGGAGGAAAGGACTGGCCAAGTGGCAAATATGGACAGAGGTACTCAATTAAATGTCTTGCTTTACTCAACAAATACTGAGCCTGGATCTTGTGCCAGTTCACATCCTAGTTGTTAAGATGCAGGGAGACCACAAAGAACGCAGTCACTGTTGTCAATGAATTCATAGCCTAGGAATTGAGAAAGACATAGCAAACAATGAGACTGGAAAATGCTAGATGGTATGGTGCTAGGCAGAGAGAGAAAGCAAGGAAATGTAAGTATAGAGCTGACTGCTTTGGGTAGATGGGAATTGGGGGGGGGCTACCTGAGAGGGTGACACTTGAGTTGTGAGCAGAATGAAAACCAAAAACCAGTCTGTAAAGACATGAAGGAAGAGCATTCTGGGCAGAAGGAAGAGCAGGTGCAAAAGCCCTGAGGTAGGATCAAGTTTTGCTTATGTGAGGATTAGACCCAAAGCAGGTGGCTGGACTGTCATAGATGAATGACAAGAGATAAGAGTTGGGAACCTGGCAATGCCAGCCCAAGTCAGGATACTAAGGCAGTCTTCCTGGGAGTCCTACCTATCACATGTGGCAAAGGCTGATGTGGGCTGTTTAGCTATAAGTCTGACCATCCTTGGTCTGCTTTAAATAGATATTGGACAGACAGTTGTCATCATGGTCCTTACTGTGTATCCAACCCTGGTCCACACACGTATTAATGGAGACCCTTTTAATAGCCCCACTAAAACCAAGTAATTTTCCCAATGCCACAATAACTGTCCATCAAAGACCCATGTTCCAAGCCTAGCATGGTAGTGTATGCCTGCAAGCCCAGCACTCAGAAGGCAGGGGCAGGAGGATCATGAGTTTAAAGCCAGGCTTAGCTACATATCAAAACTCTGTCTCAAAAAACCAAGGGCTGAGAGTGCAGCTCAGTGGTAGAGCACTTGTCTAGCACATACAAAGCCCTGAGTTCTATCTCCAGCACTACTACTACTACTACTACTACTACTAATAATAATAATAATAAAAGAGGTCCTGAGGAATCACAGGACTCTGGGAGATTCAGGTGTCCTCAGGGACATAGAGCCTAAGGATGTCCCAGGTCTTTGAAGGTCAGGAAGTTGAGACTTTTGCTTCTTTTTCTTGACTTTTTGCCCTAGTAAGACTCTCCAGTACTAGCTGGGTATGGTAGCTCACACCTGTAATCCCAGCATGTGGGAGGCTGAGGCAGAATCACAGGTTTGAGGCTAGCCTGGGTTACACAGCAAGACACTGTCTCAATAAAAAAATATCCCAAGGTCTGGGGATGTAGCTCAGTGGTAGAGAGCTTGCCTAGCATGTGCAAGGTCCCAAGTTCCATTCCCAGCACAACCAGAAAAACAAAACAAATCCATGCTCAGTTTCCAGAGTACTAATGTGAGGGGGATGAATGACAGTGGTGACTCCATTTTGGAGGTGGGAGACATTTTAGAAGCAGACATCTGAAGGTGTGAGAAACAACAGACTTCTTAGAGAAGATAACTGGCCTCTTACCAAGATAGCAGAATGCAGCTTGGTGGCAGGCCCCAAGGCCAGGATGAGCTGACCAGACCTTCTCTGAATGTTCTGTTTGATGAAAATGTAGTTGGGCAGGTGGCCAGCCAGGTTCAGCGGGAAGCTGACTAGGAGCCAACCAATCACAAATGTAGTTTCAAGATTAAACAGTTAGACCTAAGCCAGGCAGAGCCCTGTATCACACCTTAGACTCCGGCTATACAACAGCTTAGCTTTCCCTAAGCCCCTCCCATGAGGGAGCCTTGCTGTGTTTTCCATAAGCTGTGTGCTTGCTTTACTCTTGACTTCTGATCTGGTGTCTTCAATCATTGACTTTCCCAGACACAAACTTGGCATCAGCGATCCAGTATCATCTCAGTGTGACTAAGCCCAGCCAGGGACTACATTTCACACCTCCCTGTGGCTCGAGGTCCCACCCATGGGTCATGGGCAGAAATGACTCTTGTCATTTCTAAGTCTGAGTGATTGATTGAGTGACTGAGAAAACTTCCACCACTTATTGGCTCCATGTTGATGTCAGGGTGACCCTGGATCCACACACGGAAGGCAGCCGAGCCTCCATCTGCCTCAGTCTCTGGATATCTGAGTAGAGACCACCTTCCCTCAGCCCTGACACTCTGCTAAGTAATGGTGCAAGAGAAAAAGAAATACCAATTCTGTGAAGCCATGGAAGTTTAATTGATGATGTAGCTGTGACCTTTGATACCATCTCTAATTCTAGCACTTGGAGACTTTTCTTGGGATAGTATTCTGAGACAGGGATTCTTCAAGGGTCTTATTGAGGGAGAGCTCTCAATAGAAGGAGAGTGAGGGAAATGGGTGAGGGGAGAGGGGACAGGAGAAAGGCTAAAAGCTGTGTCTCAGTTGAACACTCACTGTAGTTGGGTCCACACATGGTACCACAGACTTGACCACCATGTTGCAAGACCCCCATTTTGTATCCCCATTCCCATCATTCCAGTAAACCATTGACCAAGGCCTGTTCTGAGTTGAGGGGGTAAAAGTGGAAAGGGGCTCCTGCTGGGTGAGACCAGCTCTTTAAATAAGGGACAAGTGTAGATGTTACCAGCAAACACCAACTGACCAAGGGTACCAGGGTGGGATATATGCCATATTCACTCCAGTGCTCAACACAGGTTGATTCCAGGGTCCAACTTTTAGCCATTACACCACACAAGGACACAGGGTCACCAGAGAAGTTCTGTGAATACCAACTTGACAATAAGAGAATAAAGAAGGGCTGGAAGTGGTGGCTCATGTCTATAATCCCAGCTACTTCAGAAGGTGGAACTCAAGACGATCATGGTTCAAAGCCAGCCTGGGCAAAAAGTTAAAGACACCATGTTTTGAAAAAGAAAAAAACTGGGTGTGATGGCAAGTACCTGTCATCCTCCTGTCATCAGGAGGGTCACAGGAGACCTACCTGAAAAATAACCAAAGCAAAAAGAGTGGAGGGCGTGGCTCAAGTGGTGGAGCACCTGCCTAGCAAGCTCTAGACCCTGGGTTCAAATCTCA